GTCTTTCGTTCATTCCTTTGTCCTTCCCTCCTTCATTCCTTCCTTTCTTCCCTCCCTCTTTGTCCTTGTTTGTTTGCAGCTTCAGTGTTGGCCACAGATCTTATCTGTGACAAAGCACTGCAGCTTGTACACARACAGCCAAGTTTAAGCAGCTTTCAGCTCTCAGGTCAGATTCTTGGACGTACAGTGATGGGGGAGGAAAGTACCCAACAAAGGTGAAACGGGAAGAAAATGGATGAGTGGCATCCATTTGTTGCATAATTCATGCAAGCTGAATGTAAAGTAGGGTTTATTCAGCAGCATGTTCTCTTTCGGTGAACATGATAGGGATGGATATTTGACAAGAAACAGTAAACTTAAAATTTACCCAGTAGCAATTAAGACAAGGCTAAAGCTTTTATTAATATGGTGATTGTTTGATGAAGGATTTGTGAATAAAATAGTCTTTAAAGAGTAACTTACCCCAAACCTCGTTAATAACTCTAAAAACAAAGGCTACACAAATATAAATACTTATTTATACTTTTTTTACTTGTTTTTGTAATAATTATAGGGAAAATATTACATCACCAATTATTTTATTACCCTTTAAACTGATTTCTGAAGTGCAGTGGTTCCCAAACTTTTCAGCTTTTGACCTACAAAATCACAGTAGCAGAGACCTGAGCCCACAACTATTTTTGGATGATAAACATTTGTTTCAGGTCAACTAAACATGGGCATAGTAACATTATTAATTATTCTACATTTATACATTTTAGGCAACTAAAGCAAAAAATATAATTAATTTAGAAAATCCTTTCAGGACCCCACCTTGATGTTTCAGGACCCACCTTGATGTTTCAGGACCCCACCTTGATGTTTCAGGACCCCACTTTGGGTCCCGACCCCAACTTTGGGAAACACTAATCTTGACTACACTAGACCTGTTTTCAGGAATGCTAGCTTGTTAAATGAAGCTAGCTGTCATGTTATTGGCCGTGCCCTTGAGAGTTTCTTGGCTCCGCCCTCTTWGTTGGAATTTCTCAAAGTTGCCTGGGGGGTGGGGTTATGCTTTTACAAAGTTGTTAGTTATGGTTTTAGAAATTAGAAACAGTCCTAACATATTATTTTAAGTTTTATTTTTTAAATGTTTAATTTCTAGGATTAAGTGACCTGAAAGCGGGTGACCCTTTGCATCTCTGCTCCTGGCTGTGCTCARTTTGACTCGCAAAGACCTCATTTGTTGGTTTCTTTGTTCGGTTGAAATTTGGCCCGGAGATTGTTGGGCTGCACTTTAGCCTAGTGCAGTGGAGAGATTAGCCCTGGCCGAACCTTTAACCCCGTCTGTGTGTGTAAATGACAGCAGTACATTTCCCTGACCTGCCTCCAGCTCAGCTCAGCCAGCAGATCTGTCAGCRTTCTGCTTCTGCTTCATCTCACAGGAGAGTGGGGTTGCTCACTTTGTCATCTGTATACAGCCAGTGGATTTGGCCATAACTCAGCTGACACTTGAAGAGATGTATGAACTCAAACCAGATTTATTAAAACACCAGGCTTCCATATAGAGACATTTGAAGTGGACACTGATTAACAGCTTTAATAACAGCTGCAGCTATTATGGAGATTTTTTAGGATCAGTCATTTCAGGGATAAAAAGCTACAAACTGTAAAATACTAACTCAAATGTAGACAAGATCTTTTATTATTTCAGCATGAGATCAAACAGTTCTAATCACATAATAGGTGACCTATCATAACCCAGTCGAGTGTTAATAGGAAACCTATTTTCTGTAAAGAACAAATTAATTAAAGTGATCTTCACAACATGTTTAGATATATTATTATTTAAATAAGAGATTTCTGAGGAGATTTGTGATATTTTAAAATTGGGCATATTATACACAGATGGGTGAAATTAAAGACCATTTTGATCCGCTTTTGATGTGATTGACTAAAAACAGAAGATTTCAGGAGCAAAACAAAGTGGAACCCAGAATAAGCCCTAAACAATTGAAGGCAGTACACAAATAGTTTTCATGAGTCTGTTGTTTCAAAGCAACAATGGTATAAATGTTGGAGCTGCTCAAAATAGACACTGCTCTCCAAAATGAACATGGCAAACCATGTGCAGTTTGCTAAAGATCATCTGGGCAAAACAGAAGGCTTTTGGATAAATGTTTTGTGGGTGGATGAGACCAGCTAGAATTAAATCCTGCTTGTGAGTCAAAAAAAAAAAAAACGCCATCTCTGACGGAACAATGAAGCCCAGTTAAACTGGTTATTTCTAAAGAAAAATTTCAGAAGAAAACATTTTTCTGTAGCAAAACAATGGTTCTGAGTATTTTTAGGGTGTGGTGAAATTACCAGAATGCTGTATGTATCATTTCAACTGTGAGAAGAAAACCCTGATGTGACTTTTACTGAGGAGGAGGAATAAGAGCAGCAGTTTCTGAAAGTTTGCGTAAAAACACCTCTAAGGCAGGAGTGTCAAACTCATTGTCACCGAGGGCCACAAGAGTATTATTGTTGCCCTCAAAGGATCAGTTGTAATTAACTCTTATGTTCTGTGTTTAACTTTGACTAACACGAAACATCACGTTCCTCGTCTCTTTGCTATGACTGAGCAGCTCTAACAAAACAAAACTGAGCTCTAAGTGGTATTTTGTGTATTCTTGTGGGTTTTAACACATCCTCTTATAAACACTGAAAAGTACTACGTGTACAACTGAATAAATGTAAAATAAATTGTAATAAATACGATTATAAGTAAAAGTTGAGTTTTGCCGAGTAGCTGTTGTCTTGAATTCTGAACTCTCCCACTTTCCCACAGGGAATTCCCACTAGAGTGGTGTTCCGTTCAAATTTACCTCTTATAAGCAAGAAACTCCTACATCCCAGTACAACTGGGTTGCAGCAAAAGTAGCAAGGAAAAATGCAGTGTATGGAGATTATACCATCTACCAGCTACTTTTAGTAGTGTGTTCCATTTACATCATATTCCCGGAACTGGTAAATGATAGTGACGTCATTTCCCAACAAACCATATGAAACTGCATTCCAGTTAGCTGACAGGCGATTGTATTGCTGCCGCTAACCTTGCTACAACACTGCTACAATATAAACGAGCTCTACTACATACGTTATGCAAATAAACATTGATTTTAATATGTACAGTATTGCACAGACAACACACTACTTGAGCAAGTGATTAAACATGCACAAAAAAATTAAGAAAGATAATTAGTAGTAAAAGTTATGGAGTTAACTTTCCAAAGCTGTGAGTAGCCACCATCTTGAAATCAAAACTGAGAGCAGTCGAATTTCTTCCACTATACGAGTGGAATATTACCACCAGTTTAAATCTCCAAATGGGAACAGTAAAATTACCACTTCCCAGGACTACTGGAACACACCATAAACCCTGTGCACCTCCACCTAGTGGTGGGGTACTGCCATTTTGCAGGTCAATAATCAACATGCGTTATGGGAGATGTAGTTTATGTTCTGGTTTTAAAGCCACACACGCTTATTTTAAGACATTAATACATCCTTGAAGTGTTCATGGGCAACATAAAATACCGTGGTGGCCACATTTGGCCCATGGGCCTTCAGTTTGACACATAAGCCAAAAAGGACTTTGCCATGATTAACCTTTATGTTATGTTAAGATTCCCTTTGATTATGTTGTTACAGCGCACCAAGATATAATTTCAACTTGGGCACCACAAAAAGTCTCACCTCATTCTAATACTAATATTGGATCATTTTTTCAATAAMTAAATAAAGAAGTATTGTGTCAGTTTTGTATAAATGTACAAATGAAGTCTGACAGATATAATAACATTTGATGTTTGAAAGCAGAAGATGCTCACTGACAGAGACGGGGGATATTCAAAGTAAGATTTATGTCTTTTGATAAAGACCAAGATCTGTGTGGGTTTATTGTGTTTGAAAGTCATGCCCTCTTAAAGGTCCCTTATTTTATCAGATAAATGTCATTACCACTCTTCTAGTTGTCAATCATGTTTGCATTAGTTTTTTTTTTTTGTCAAGTTAATGGAGGCTGTTGTGTTGGTTTTATCTTTGGCTCAGGCTTTAGAGGAAGTCAGCCCTTTTGTTCGTGCATTCTTTGCCTCAGCTCTGATAATTGTGAGACCCAGTGTGTGCTTTAGTGTGTAGTTGTCTGTATGAAAGGCATGTGTGTATACCTGTTCACTGTAATAATGCTTTTGTGTGTGCCCTTTTCGTTTAGTGGACTGGTATTTATCCTCCCTCACCTCAGGCTTAGAGTTCATTCTTCATGTTCTGTTATTCCAAATGTAGAGACAATACCAACCTGTCCTTCTGTTTTTCTGAACAGAAACTCTTTACTTTTACTGTTCAGACACCAGAGTTAAAATCTGACCATTACCCACCTCTTTGTCTTGTAGTTTGTCAATAACTCAGCTCTAAAAATAAAATTCTTTTTTTTCCTATCTCCGACCTTCCATTTGTCTCCTGCCTCCTTCTCTTCTTTTACTGTTAATGTAGATGTCCTCAATAATAGATGTCTCAGTGGAAAATGCTGTATTGTGTGTTTGCATCGCTGACTTTAATGAGCAAGGATGTACACAAATGTATTTTTTAAGCTTATCAGTTGTGTTTAGCAGCTGTCGTGTAGTTACGAGGGAAAGAGTTGTTATGTCATGAGGGTGGGGGGCACTCAATGTTTGCATTCATTTATGTTTATTCTAAATCTGCAATTTGACCCATCTGACAAAACGGAGTTGGTTACACTGAAAATAACTAATACAGTGCAGTAGAGTAATAGTACGATGCATATGAAGACATATTTGAATCCTGACTTTGAGTGGACCCCCCTCACTTTGTATTGAACTGTCTGTGTTGTGTGAATCAATATGCACCTGTGTGTTTTTTTGTTTTTGTCATTTAAGGCCCTGCTAAACACAGCAGAGGCCACAATGTTTCTCTAACAGTTGTTTCTCCTCCTCCCTCCTCTGAAATGGACCTCTATACAGACGGAGGTAACTCCACATGAGCTCAGTGTGGCTCAGACCCCCACCTCACCCTTCGCTCCCCCCTCACTGGGCATGCTCTGTCCTTCTGTTTAGTGCAGCGTCCTTATATCGGGACACTGTTTTTCTAGTCTATTCTGAGTGTGTGTGCATGTGATCATACAATGCTGTGAGTGTACACACTCTGAGGAAAACGTCAGCTGTGTGTGTTTATGTGTGTGTTTTTGTGTGGGACTCTGGGAGGGGGGTTATATTAACTTAAACTGATCGGTGCATTGGGTTGTTTTTCCAGGTATGCTTAATTAAAAGTGTGTGTTTGTACTACAGTCTCTCGTGATGTTTTCCCACTTTTGTGTCACTTTCACTCTGTGAGTACAACCTCTGGTGGATAACGTGTTTTTCAACACAGGCCAATTGTTTATTTTCGCTGTCATCCTCACCTGCGTGTTCGGCTTCACRTGTATGAAACCGTTTGCATGACTCTCCTAACATCATAACGTGTCGACACATTAACCCTGTGGGTTGTGACTGTTTTCAGTGTGTTAGTCCAAACAAATGCTAATGGGATTGTAGATGGTGTAAAAACGAGCTGATTAAACTTATTTTAATGCAAATCATTTGTGTTTCTTTCTGTGCGGTGACATGGACGAGTAGAAAATAGCCCAGGAGCGWGAGAAGTTTGCAGATGAAGACAGCATATTTTACACATTAGGAGAATGTGGTCTGATCTCCTTCTCTGACTACATCTTCCTCACCACCGTGCTGTCCAGTAAGTACTTTGTTTACCGCCGCTCGCACACGAAAAACCCTTTACATTGTTAGCATTGATCACAAATCCGATACTAAACGATTTTCTTCAGTTTTCTTAGTCAGAAAAAGACTCGATGTGGAAAAAACCCCATCATTTTTCAGTAAGATATGAGCTGGCTGTTAGTGCAGCCTGACCTCGGCTACGGTTTGTTTAACCAATTGCACATTAATGTTTCTGCTCTAAATGTGTCTGAGTATATGATAATAAATATCAAACTCTACTTCCTCTTGAATGCTTGGTAAACTCATCTCCTCAGACTATTTATTATAATTTGTTTGTATGGAGAAAAGTCTTAGGCGAAGTCATTTTAAGAAGACATGCAAGGCTGCCTCAGGATTGGTTTCAGTCTATTTTTTATTGGAGGATATTTTGCCTTCATGCTCAAATGTGCTTTGGGTAAATTTCAGTGTTGCATATATATAT